TTTATTAATAGAACATTTATAGATATATACAATTGTAAATCTCACTTCTTGGGGTAACCTACAATTGACTACTTGAATCACTTATACATGGTTATAGTTTAATATACAAAAATTGTTAAATATTTATAGAAATAGTTACTTTAAATGTTCATTAGTTCGGGATTTGTTCATTCTTTATTTCTACAGCAAAATATGTAGCACGTTGATCGGATGGCAATAGATACTATTTTTCTGATACAATATTGTTGGTGTTGATTATCCAATCCTAACTCATTTAGCATTTTTACGAATGTATGGCATTCTTTGTCAAACACCCTTAGCGAACTGACTGAAAGATTTATAAATTTAATAGATGTAAAGTTTTGATCTAGTTCTCTAAATAGGTTCTTATATTTAGCTTTCTTGCGATTAACATTGTTTGTGAGGTTTGATTCAAAGCCTACGGTAATTTCAACAACGTAGAGGTGTTTGTCTGAAGTGGAGACAAGTCAATCAGGACGATATTCATCACCCGTAATAATCGAGGGGCTTTCAAATCCAGGAAGATCAACAAGTAATTTGCATTCGTTTAAACTTTGAAACGTTTTTGCAAGAAACTTTAGTATGCAATCGTGTCTCCAAGTAAATCGTTCCAAGTAATGTTGACAACCGGGAACAACGTGCAGAAGTGATTCGGGGTGTAAGCAGAACGAGCAGTCAGAACTTGATGAAATTCCCCATCTACTGAGGTTCTTTCGGGTAGGAAGGGTATTATTCATATAGCGAATTGTAAAGTTGAAAATGTTCTTTGGTAGCTTTGATTGCGATACCGACCAAATTGCGTTAAGTTGTGATAGGGAGAATTTAGAAATATTTTCGAAAAAGGAACCTTGACATTTCAAACGGTCCCTAAGTTTATTTTCTTGTTGAGAATGGAAAGTTTTTAAAACTTCTTTAGTTGAATTGTAGCTATCGTATTGAATGTTAGTATGATTATTAGTTGACTTCCACAGTTCGTTAATTGAATCGTTTGGAGATGTTTTTAGGGCATTGCATAGAACAGTTTGACACTGAATGAACTTGACGGATGCAGGGATGATAATAATAATAATAATAATAATAATAATAATAATAATAATAATAATAATAGTAATAATAATAATAATAATAATAATAATAATAATAATAATAATAATAATAATAATAATAATAATAATAATAATAATAATAATAATAATAGTAATAATAATAATAATAATAATAATAATAATAATAATAATAATAATAATAATAATAATAATGGAAACTTTTTATTAGATATTTACGATATACTATATATACATTGATAAACCTCACTTAATAAAAGGTAGCTTATCGATGTCCACTTGAATTGAGTTTAAAGCTAAAATATATATACATGTGAAAATCTTTTAAATTTAGTTAAAAGTTTAAAAGTTCTGGGTTGTTCCAGTCTTTGTTTCGTCTACAGAATATATAATACGACGTGCGAATACAAGTAGCAATTATTTTCTTTTTTACATATTTAATACATTGTTCGTCGTACTTCAGAGTTAGTTTTCAAGTTTGTTTCGAATCCAACAGTTAATTCTAGAATGTACAAAATCTTATTTTCAATTGTCAATAGAAGGTCTGGTCGTAACTCGTAACCAGTGATGACAGATGGGCTAATAAATCCAGGCAGATCTACATACATTTTGGACCTTCCGACGTCGAGAAGGCTGGATCGGACGCAATGAGATTCAAAACTGAATCATGTCGCTCTGTATATCCCCCTTCGTTTAGATATGTCTTACATCCAGAAATTATGTGCAAAAGCGATTCAGGGCAGAAGCAGAACGAACAGTCAGCAGATTATGACAGTCCCCATTTAACTAGGTTTTTCCTAGTAGGCAAAGAATTGTTGATGTAACGTAGACTGAAGTTAAATATGTTCTTAGGAAGTTTTGAATGAATCGATGACCATAGGGAATTGAATGCCAACGTGGAGTTTTTCACGATGTTTGAGAAAAAAGAACCTTGTGACATTAGATTATTTTGTAGTTGCTGTTCGTTTTTTTGTCTAAATGCCTTCAATACATCTTTTGTGTTTGAGTAAATGTCGTACTGCATGAATGTTCCTATTGGTGCTTGTTATTGACCACAATTCACGTGTGTTTTCATTTATCGATGACTTTAAAGCTGAGCGTGAGACAGTTTGGCACTGTATAAACTTCGTTGAAGGTAGAATGACATTTAAACCAAATTTGTTGTAAGGGAGATAGACATTGCTTAGAGTTGCAGATATTGGCAGTTCGAGGCATTTTCGTATATATTTAGTAGCAATACCGTCCAAAGTCTCGCAAACCCATGTTTGAGATATATCAATTATTGTGAAGTCCCATGAGATTTTTGAGAGCAAGTAGCGACTGTATAGCAGGATTTTATTTCGGGGGTGCAAATGTAATTCATCTATTTTAGATATGATATTATTAAACAAGTCACATATATCCGATTGGTGTTTTTCATCTGACATGTTGAAATTAAGATAACGACCAAGGTAGCGGAAAGATTCACCAGTTTCGGTACGGGGTACAAGTAGGTGGTTACTAAACAATTTAGGTTAATATTGAATAGATTTAGATGAGTGTTTTTTAATACCGAACGTAGAGCACTTGTGAACACGTATAATCATATTGGCCCATTGACACCATACCGAGAAGCGATTGAGTAGGATTTGATTTTCTTTTTCTTGGCTACTAATGACAGCGGCGTCGTCTGCAAACTGGAACCAATGAATTGGATTACACGGAATACCAGTTTTATTACATTTCCAAAAATCAAGCTGCAGGAATAATTCAGATTTAATGTGTTGTACGAAGGTATTAAAGAACATATTGAAAAGGAGTGGACTAAGGCAGTCACCTTGTAAAACGCCACGGCCGACGGTAATGAAAGGGGTCCTGAATTTTTCAGTTATAATAGATGTTTGGATGTTAGTATAAAGACTCCGGATTAGTTCATTTATAGGATCAGGTATATGATGATATTGAAGAACTTTGTAAATAAGGTTGTGATGTAGTTCACCGAATGCATTCTTCAGATCGAGTAAAGTGATTACAAGTGACCTTTGTTTTATACGGGCTGTATTGATTATGTGCGCCATATGGGCTGTATGTTCAACAGTTCCTGCAACGTTTGGGGTAAAACCTTTAATAATAATAATAATAATAATAATAATGGAAACTTTATTAAATGTTTTTCTTTACATACATATACAATCGTAAATCTCTCTCATAAAGGTAACTTACGATTGGCTATTTGAATCACAATTATACTAAACTAAAATAACAGAACAAAGTGCATGCAATATATATATATATATACAATGAGATAAGTCAAATTGTTAGTAAATCCGGATTTTCCCATTCTTTATTTCGGCAACAGAAAATGTAATATGTAGTTCTAATAGCAATAGTCATCATTTTCCTAACGCAGTACATTTGGTGGTTTTTGTCAAGACCAATACTATCTAACATGTCTAAAAATGTATAACATTCTTCTGCAAAAATACCTAAAAAGCTGATGGAGAGATTTATAAATTTAACTTGGTTAAAATTTTTACCTAGCTGTCTCAATAGTTCTCTATATTTATCCTTCTTCCGTTTTACATTGTTTTTGAGGTTTGTCTCATAACCAGTGGTGAGTTCAACCACATATAAGGAACCATTTGAGCACGATAATAACAAATCTGGGCGATACGTATCACCAGTAAGTATTGAAGGGCTTTTGAATCCATTTAGATCAGCGTAGAGAGTAGAACCGTCAACAGTTTGTAACTGATGAGCAAGAATAATAATAATAATAATAATAATAATAATAATAATAATGATAATAATAATTAAAGAACTCTCATAGCAAGAATTCTGTACCAACTTTTGATATAAAGACTCAATGAAAACTGGGACCGACTTTTTGTGATTCTCGAGTGCTGGGGAGGGGGGCGTTACACCCCCATCTATGTCTTGCCCTGGCAATTGCAGCACATCGTCGAAACAATAAAAGAAATCAAAAAGAACCCCCCCCCCCCCCCCC